GCTTGGAGGAGTCACAGCAGAGTCCCCATCCCTGCTGTCCTGGGCGGGGCTGCCAGGTGCCCCCTGCCAGCCTCTCTTTATAAATTGCCAGAAGGTTCTTCTGGGTCTGGGCTGGGGCTGGGGTCTGGGTCGGGGGTTGATCCAGTGTCTGCAGGTGTCCACCAGGCACTTTCTGCAGGATCTCCTGGAGTCGGAACTCATCAAAATCAGGAAAACATGTGGCTTTCCTGGCTATCTCTGGATGAGTTTGCCAGTTGTGGCCAGCTCTGGAATGTGGCTGCCTGGAGACCTGAGTTCCAAGTTCTCTTTGGTCTTCTGTCAGGGCTGAGTCACTTCCTGGGGTGCTCTTACCTAAGCCTCTTTCTCCAACAGGACCCCCACAAAATCTCCCTGGGCTTCTGACTGCTCCTCATAAGACACTCACTATTTGCATAATTGGAAACAATTTTACCAGTACACCCCACCATCCCTGAAAAGGCCTGGGGGCAGGCAATACCTCAGTTTCTGGGAGACGGAGGGGATTCCGACTATTTAACATCTTTGAATGTTGTCATGTGTGCATGAGACCCCCAAGGTTTCATTTTGTTACTAATGCAACAAATTTCTGGTATTGGAAATGAATTTTACAACTTCGGGGCAAGGGTGGGGGGACTGGGAGAGGGAACAGATAGAGGGAGAAAAACGAAGGAGTGGGTAACAATGTTCTACAAGAAATGCACTCATTATCTAATTTAATTGTAACCCCTCTGTTCAGCACCTTTACAATTAAAAAAAAATCATCCTCCAGGAAAAAAAAATTATCACACAAGCTGGGTGCCAGTGGTTCACACCTGTAATCCTAGCTACTCGAGAGGCTAAGATCTGAGGATCACAGTTAGAAGCCAGCCCAGGCAGAAAGTCCCTGAGATTCATCTCTAATTAGCCACCAGAAAACCAGAAGTGACGCTGTGACTCAAAGTGGTTGAGCACTAGCCTTGAGCGAAAAAGCTCAGGGACAGCTCCTATACCCTGAGTTCAAGCCCCATGACTGACAAAAATAAAAAAAACTATCATACAAGAGCTGGGTGCCCATGGCTCACACTTGTAATCCTAGCTACTCAGGAGATTGAGATCTAAGGATCATGGTTCAAAGCCAGCCCTTGCAGCAATGTCCATGAGATTCTTCTCTACAACAAACTACTCAAAAAAAAGCTAGAAGTGTTGCTGAGGTTCAACTGGTAGAAAGCTAGTTGAACATAAAGAAGCTCAGGGACAGTGCCCAGGTCCTAAGTTCAAGCCCCAGGACTAGAAAAAAAAAAAATATATATATATATATTTATTTATTTATTTATACACACACACACACACACACACACACACACACACATATCACACAAAGCAAAGTTAATTTCATTAAAAACACAAAACCATAGTACAATTGAATGCTGCCACCTATTGGTAGCAAGTTACACCCAGTCACAAAAAATACTGGAAACAATAAAACATTCCTGCTTGCCCATGAATGCTTGCAGAAATATTTTTGCTAAAATCTTGGAACTATACATAAATATGGTCAAGACAATTTTTATTTTTGTATTTTGTTAGTACTGGTAACTAAATTTCAGTGAGTGCATCACATCTCAGCAGTTTCCTTCTGTGCTGAAACAGAAGAAATACGACGCTTCCAAACCCAGTGTTCTGTGATCAGATTGGACTCTTGCATTTCTATTGCTTTCTGTCAGACCTGGACTGAAAATACTCTGCTAATAATACATCTAATAGCTGATTCCAAAGTTTCCACTTTCAGGGGCTGGGAAGGTAGCTCAGTGGTAGAGTGTTTGCCTTGCATGTATGAGGCCCTGGGTTCAATTCCTCAGTACCACATAAGCAGAAAAAGCCAGAAGTGGTGCTGTGGCTCAAGTGGTAGAGTGCTAGTCTTGAGCTGAAGAGCTGAGGGACAGTGCCCAGGCCCAGAGTTTGAGCCCCACGACCAGACCCAAAAAAAAAAAAAGTTTCCACTTTCAGAATAATACAATACTAATTACTAGCCTAATATAATTAGCCTGAAATAAAGGTTGACTGCTTTCTTGTTTGGTTTAAAAACAATTTTAAACTACATATGAAATACACCAACTTAAATAATACCTTATATAAAACACCTTAACAACAACAAAATTATTTTTAAAGCAACATATTTAATCAGTCAGAAAAGTTTATACCCAATCAGATTAATGTAGAAAATAAAACTAACTTTTGCAATAATCAGTTACAATAAAAAATATAAGGGGAAAAACATATGTCATTAAGTGACATAAACGTGTGTATGATGTAAAGTCAGCCAGACATTTTGAGTTGGAGGGTTGATGGACATGGGCCTAAGGAAGTCATGCTTTTGTGCCATGCTAAAGGAAGACTGTTTGGGGGGGTTAAATGATCAGCACAAATCCAAACTAACATCCACAAATTAATCCACAAAACCTCTCAACTTAGAAGAAAGGCTACTCAAGGATGGCTCTCATGGGGAGACCCCTGGTCTTGACGGTTCTGGCTGATTCCTTTCCTGGGACCCCTACTATCTATACCTATCCATATACCTATCTACCTATGATACATGATATACAATTCTGCAAATATTGGGGCTGGAAAGGTGGCTCAGTGGTAGAGCGCTTGCCTTGCATGCATGAGGCCCTGGGTTCGATTCCTCAGCACCACATAAGCAAAAAGAAAAAAGCCGGAAGTGGTGCTGTGGCTCAAGTGGTAGAGTGCTAACCTTGAGCTGAAGAGCTGAGGGACAGCGCCCAGGCCCAGAGTTCAGGCCCCACAACTGGACCCAAAAAATAAAAAAATAAAAATAAAAACAATTCTGCAAATATTTAGCACCAGGCCCAGATTTCAGGCCCCAGGATAAAACCCCTCCCTCTCATAAGTGGAGCTGTGGCTCAAGTGGTAGGGTACAAGCCTTGAGCATAAAAACCCAAAACCTTGAACAGCACTCAGGCCTCAAGTTCAAGCCCCAGGTGCACGCACCCCCCACTACCCCACCCCCTATCAACTGTCACAAACTACCTATCCATATACACTTAGGAGAGAAACACAAAGGCACAATGCATAAGTGCCTGTTCACATATATAAAATAATATACATACTGAAACCAACTCCGAGATATGGGGAAAAAAGACCTTTTTTTCCTTCTTTTTTGTTTTTAGTTTTTGATGATTCTGTCTTCTTTACCTTTTGTATGATGCATTCAAGTATACATCTTTGGAAGGGTTGGGGGAGGGTACAGAACTAGAGGGAAAAAGAGTGGAAAAGTGCAGCAGTGGAGCTCCCTGGACACGGATGAGAGTGAACTATACAACTGGTGGGTGGAGACGGGAGGGAGGGACTGGGAGAGAGTGAGGGAACAGAAGACACGGTATGAAAGGAGCTGTGCTCATTACCTGACTCATGCAATGCAATCCCTCTGTACATCACCTCTATAATAACAATGAAGTAAATTAATAATTTTTAAAAACTACCATTTCTAAATTTTCATCATCATATAAGTGAGTTAAAGAGTGCAAAATTCCATAATATGCATGTATAAAAAGAATTTTCAAGCTGGGTGCCAGTGGCTCATACCTTGCAAGCCTACCTACTCAGGAGAATGAGATCTGAGGATTGTGGTTTAAAGACAGCCCCAGCAGGAAAGTCTGTGGGACTCTTTATCTCCAAATAACTACCAAAAAGCCAGAAGAGGAGCTATAGCTCAAGTGGTAGAGTGCTAGCCAAGAACAAAAAAGCTCAGGGACAGTGTGCAGGATCTGATTCAAGCCCCAGAACTAGCACCAAAAACAAAAACAAAAAAGAATTTTCAGAAGAAAATGTGGTCTATACAGACAATGGAGTTTTATTTAGCCATTAGAAGAGTGAAATTATGTCATTTATAGGAAAATAAATGAAACTAGAGATTCATTATGTAAAGCAAAATAAACCAAACTTAGAAAGACAAATACTTTAACCCCTCTGTACATCACCTTTACAATAAAATTTTAAAAAGAAAAAAGTAGAAGGGGAACTCTCTGGGAAAAGAACAGGGATCAGCAGGATGGGGAAAAAGAAGAGCGGGTAAACCAGGTGCTAGTGGCTCATGCCTATAATTGTAGCTACTCAGGAGGCTGAGATCTGGGGATCAGGTTGAAAGCCAGCCTTTGTGGTAGAGTGCTGGACTTGAGCAAAAGAGCTGAGGGACAGCGCCCAGGTCCCAAGTTCAAGCTCCATAACTAACAAAAATTTAAAAACAAAATTAAAAAAAGAGAGGGTAGCAGAGGAAAGGAATATGACCAAAGTATGAAAATGTCAAGGAAACTCATTTTGTACTATTAATATATGCTAACAAAAACATTTAAAATTCACAAATACACACAAGAGGGAAAACAGAAATATATGTGCAGAATTAATTGGCTGATCTGAAAATGTCTGATGTTAGAGGACTGGAAATGGACAAATCAGCAAGAGACTTCTGTGGAAAGGTGGAAGGATCCCATGGACCTCAGTGATGCCTGGAAGGGCAACCTTGAACTAGTGGAGGACAGCTGGCAGAAAACACCCTCTAGGGGCTGGGAAGGTGGCTCAGTGGTAGAGTGCTTGCCTTGCATGCATGAGGCCCTGGGTTCGATTCCTCAGCACCACATAAGCAGAAAAAGCCGGAAGTGATGCTGTAGCTCAAGTGGTAGAGCACTAGCCTTAAGCTGAAGAGCTCAGGGACAGCGCCCAGGCCGAGTTCAGGCCCCACAACTGGCAAAAAAAAAACAAACCCTCTAGAGAAATCTACAACAGAAAGCAAACACAGACTCCTCCTCCCCTGCCCTGTCCCTCTCACACTAGCTTACAGACACTAAGGCATATTTAAATGCAGAGGAATTACTTATAATCCTACCTAAAGTGAGCCAACTCACAGAGAAAAGGGGAAATTTCATCTTAGTCCAAAGAATCTGTGACCCTGAGGAAAAAGTGAAACAGATACACTTGCAGCTACTCACCAACAGGTTCTTCAGATTCAACAGTCAAATATAAAAACTTCTTTGTATTTTCCATCTCTTCACTGCTTTGCAAGATGTCATTATTTTTTGCAGACTAATGAAAACAAAATTAAAGTTTAGTGTGGAAAGGGAAGGCAAGTATTCTCATTGATTTAAAAAAAAAAAGTCCTGGGACTTGAACTCAGGGCCTGGGCACTGTCCCTGAGCTGCTTTTGCTCAACACTAGCATCTTACCACTTGAGCCACAGCGCCACTTCCAGCTTTTTCTTTGTATGTGGTACTGAGGAATTGAACCCAGGGCTTCATGCATGCTAGGCAAGCACTCTACCACTGAGCCACATTCCCAGCCCCTTCTTGTTGATTTTTATTCTGACATAGTTCCCAATTGTGCACATATAAACAAGAAGGTCTATCTTTATATGTATATTATGTTTATATTTCTTAGGAAAATTTGTTTCCACAAAATTCTGATAACAGGTTTTCCTAGAGAGACATGAAGTGTATGATAATTACTTTCCCAGTTTCTGTTAGTTTTCTTTTTTTAAAAAAAATCCTTTATTCTAAGCTTGTCTTTTTCTGTCAGTCATGGGGCTTGAACTCTGGGCCTAGGTGCTATCCCTCAGCTCAAGGCTAGTGTTCTACCACTTGAGCCACAGAACCATTTATAGCTTTTTCTGTTTATGTGATGCTGAGGAATTGAACCCAGGGCCTCATGCATGCAAGGCAAGCACTCTACCACTGAGCCACCTTCCCAGCCCTTAGATAGTTTTCCAACTCATGAACAACCCAAAGGTAGAGCATCAAATTGAAATTTCAGAGATGCTAAGTTTAGAACTGTTTTATGGTTTCCATTTAAACTCTTCTTTCAAAGGGGCAGGGCGGGGGTTGGGGGGACTTTGCTTTGAGTTTCAATAAAAAAGACTAACTTTTCCTGGCAAACTTCATAGGAATTATTTCTCTAGTTTAAACACTACATTTTGGATGCTATTTTCTTTCCATTGTAATGGACTTCATGGATACAAATACATTCTTATTCACTTTATTCTAAATTCACTTAAATGTCCAGAAAATCTCCCCATGAAGTCAGTCAATAATTAAGGATGGCTCATTCAAAACAGCCATCTGTTATTATCAGATTCAGATTCCTGCCTGAAGAGTAAAATTCAAATATGAGGCAAAGGCTCTATACCAAGTCAGTGCCAACCTCTGCTCAACTTCAGCCTCTCAACACTACAGATAATAGGACCCATGAAGAGCAAAGAAAGCTGATCAGGCACCAGAAATTTGTCAAGATAGGAACAAAAGGAGTGTGGCCCAAAACTCAAGCTTTCTGAAAAGACCTTTACCAGTTCATGAAACAGTACAACTCCCCAACTGGTTTGAGACCAGGGTTTGCTGGAGTGATGATGCTGACCAGATGGATAAACTTTTTTTTTTTTTTTGGTGGGTGGTGGAGCTTGAACTCTAGGCTTGGGCGCTGTCCCTCAGCTCTTCAGCTCAAGGCGAGTGCTCTACCGCTGGAGCCACAGTATGACTTCCGGTTTTCTGAGTGGTTTATTGGAGATAAGAGTTTCTCGGACTTTCCTGCCAGGGATGGCTTTGAATTACATCCTCAGATCTCAGCCTCCTAAGTAGCTAGGATTCAGGCGTGAGCCACCGGCGCCTGGCTCAGATGGATCAACTTTTATGTACTTCTCTCTCTGAACTGTAAGCTCACTAAAGAAAAAGCAGCCATGCACAGTTGGTGAACATAGCCATCATACCCACTCTGCTAATCCCAGCAATGAAGGTGACCCCATCTGACAAAGCAAGGCTGAACTAGGTCTGTCTGTGGGTGTGATCACATCGGAGAAGCCGGGTCTGAAATGTCACAGACCAAGTTATACTATCCAGTTCTCCAAAAATAAGCCCTCTGCACTAACACACAAACACACCACCACCACCACCACCATTACCACTACCACAAAACAATCGATAGAGGCAGGCAACATTCCCACTACCACAGTCCGGACTTCTTAAAGGAAGTCATTTCTGTCAGCATATGGTTATAAAATTCCTACCTTAAGTTCATCCCACAGCTTTTTTCTCATTTCTAAACCTTGCTTCTTGATTTCTTTTTCTCTGTGTTGTTTTTTTGCCAAAATTTTATCAAGTCTTTTCATCTTATGAATAGCATCTTGAAGTTGAGAATCTGATTCTTCCAATTTCAGATCATATGCAAAGTCTGGAAAGTAGAAACTAGTTCAAAGTTCAGTAAAATCATAAAGTCTTGTTTTACTTTTACTCTTTGTTTTTCTATTCTATTTCTGATGAAAATAACTACTACATGGTGGTTATGTGACTAACTTAATTTACAAGGTATTTTATGTATCTTTTTGTATAATTATATAAGAACTCTACAGAATAGCCATCCATCTTAATTTAAGAATTAGGAGGGGCTGGGAAGGTGGCTCAGTGGTAGAGCGCGTGCCTTGCTCATGTGCACCACATAAGCAAAAAGAAAAAAGCTGGAAAGCCGGGCGCTGGTGGCTCATGCCTGTAATCCTAGCTACTCAGGAGGCTGAGATCTGAGGATCGAGGTTCAAAGCCAGCCCGGGCAGGAAAGACCGTAAGACTCCTATCTCCAGTAAACCACCAAAAAACCAGAAGTGGCGCTGTAGCTCAAGTGGTAGAACGCTCGCCTTGAGCTGAAGAGCTGAGGGACAGCGCCCAGGCCCAGAGTTCAAGCCCATGACCGACAAAAAAAAAAAAGAAAAGAAAAAAGCCGGAAGTGGCGCTGTGGCTCAAGTGGTACAGCACTAGCCTTGAGCTGAGGGACAGCGCCCAGGCCCAGAGTTCAGGCCCCACGACTGGACCCCCCCCCCAAAAAAGAATTAGGATGGGCTGGGAAGGTGGCTCAGTGTAGAGTGCTTGCCTTGCATACATGAGGTCCTGGGTTCAATTCCTCAGCACCACATAAGCAGAAAAGGCACTGTGGCTCAAGTAGTACTGTGGCTCAAGTGGTAGGGCGCTAGCCTTGAGCCGAAGAGCTGAGGGACAGTGCCTGGGCCCAGAGTTCAGGCCCACAACCAAAAAAAGAAAAAAAAAAAGAATTAGGATAACAGAATCCTTTCAAAATTCTAGTAAACCATAACACCAGGCTTACAAGTAGTTCTCTTAAGATTTTAAGCCTCTAATTCTTTCTCCTTCATTCTGCAATATTTGTACATATAAGATTAACAAATAGAAAGTGTGGCTGGGAGATTCAGACACTATTCTAATGCTGCTTCAGATTGAGTAAAATAAAAGGCATTGTACATGTAAGAGCTAGACACAGGAAAAAGCAGGGGAAAAATTAAGCATAGAGTGTGAAGACCTGAGTACAACAAACACAAAACCAGTTCCATTCTCAAACTATTGCGTAAGTACTTTTCTTCAACATAATCTTTCTCTCTGAGGTATAGGCAAATTGTTTTATGACTACTTCCCACTTTGCCCCACAGAACATTAAGATGATGTGCATTATCCTAAAATTATAATATTAATAATGATTTTCCTTTATTGATAAAATTAATGTCTGCTTCATGATGATGCAGATATCCCTGAGTGACGCTGGCTTCCTCCTCCTCCTGCCAGTGCCTGGTTATAAAGAAGACAATGACATCTGAAATGAGGGACAGACTTGACTGCTGCGAAGGCAGCACTGGTTCTACCCGCTTTTGCTCCCCCAGCACACTGGGGAAACTGCACTCAGCGCTCTGGTGAAACAGTGTTGGTCTTAGAGCCCCTGCAAGGCCCTCAGAAACACCTCCATCCCAGGACTCTGAAATCACCGAGGCCAAAAAGTAGCTTTCAAAATGTAATGTTATCAATTTTAATGGGATTATCCCTTGAGGAACATTTATAAATAATAGAATATATTTTATCCACCCACTTTAGTAATTGAAATTATCCATAAATTATAAATACTTCCTATTGGACTAGTATAGAGTTAACAGTTTCTAAGTGATATATTTTGTTATATTTCTAAGTGTATTTAGGGTTCTCAATATTCTTAAGTTTAAAAAAAAAGAGCTAGCTGCTCTTTATAGCTGTGGTAGCTCACATCTATAATCCTAGCTACATGAGAAGCTGATATCAGAATCATGACCTAAGGTCAACTGGGCAAAAAGCATTCACAAGAACCCTTCTCAATCAAAGCCTACAATCCCCCAGCTGAGATCCAGTGTACTGGGATTCCAGGCCAGCCTGAGCAGGAAAGTGTGGAAGACTCCATCATTCCAGCTAATGGGAAGTCTAAAACAGGCAGGTCACAATCCAGGCACATGCCTGAGCAGAAAGCAAGACCCTATCTCCAAAGTAACCAGCACAAGGAAGGACTGGATGTATAGCTCAGCAGCAGAGCACCTGTCTATGCCTAAGTTCAAACCCCAATACCATCACCCCCAAAAGGGTGATTTTCTCATGAAAACAATCACTATTTTGGGCATATTATTTCTACTCAGCTAATACATGTCATTTTATTATTCTGAGGATAACATGGACAGATAACTGTCAGGTAAGTACCCTACCTGAACGGTCCAGTGTGATCTGATCTTGAGCAATGCCCACATCTTCATCCGGCCCGGCCTTGGCCCATTTTACTTTCCCAGAGTAGTCAGCCCATTTGTCAGCACTGCTGGGTCTTCGTTCTTCCACAGTGCTGTTTTCTGAGCGGTTCTCTTTACCAGAACTTAGCTTGCTTGCAGTATCGACCTAAGAATAATGTTTTTAAAAAGAGATTACAAAATATGTAATTTCTCCTTCTGGACTATAGGATACTGAAAAAATGTGTTTTCCTCAAACTTTATACTTCAGAACATTTTTAACACTAGTGGAAGCATATGTCCACAGACACAGATACTGGCACTGAATTCTCTAGAAGCACAACTTTTTAATTAAGTGTAATGTCAGTGCAGACTTACACAGCGTAACATTTACATCAGATAAGTACCATTCTCCCTTGGCATGTAGCAGTGATGAAGAAGGGCCTGTCAGTCTCCGGGGAGGCTGGCTGAGCACACGCCACCTGTGGAATGGGAATGGTTGAAAAGTGGTCAGTCTGCATTGAGATGTGGCTCCGATGAGGGTCTTCTCATCAAGACTATGTGCTTTATGTGCAGGCCTCCCTGTCTGAGGACACTTGGCATCCAGGAAAACCCCAAGGGCTGAATAGAATACAAAGTGAAAGCCATACGTGCGTGAAATTCAAACCAATCAATAAGGTTCACAAAAAGGAAGATAGCCAATCAAAACTAGCCTAACCCAAGATATAAAACCTGTCAACCCTGTCTTGGCACACTATACCCTCTAGCTGCCCACCATTTTGCCTTGCTAGTGGAGGCCTAATAAATCTTTGTCTTTCTTATTCTCCTGTGTCAAAAAATTCTTTACCAACTCATGGCTTCAAACCTTCACAGTTTTTCTATTGCATTTTGGTTTCCTTTTACATTTTAGCAAAGTTCATTTTGAAAAGACCAAAAGTTCAACACAGGTGTGTTTTCCTGAAAGAGAGTGAGAGAGAAGACAGAAACAGAGACAGAGACAGAGAGAGACTTCCCTCCCAATAAGGAATTGTCTGCTTCAACTCTTCTGATCTCAGGCATTGGAAGGTCCTATGTTCCCTGTGAACCAGATGTTCAACACTCTACCACTGCAACTCTCCTAGAGATCTGCAGTCCAGGGGACAGGTGGAGCTGGGATTTACCCTGCTAGGAACTGGACCAGCATCCCTGCTGGACACAGGATATTAACCCAGCAGAACTGAGCTAAGTTGGTGGTTCATTAATCATAGCCAATCTGTACTGAGGGCTGAAATCAGCCATGTCTGATGCTTAAGTAGCTTGTACGCTGGCCTCACAACTACTCACAATGACCCAGTGGTGTAGGCATTGACTTTCCATTTAACAAAGGAGAACAAAGATGTAGTAGGAAATAAACTAGCGATGACCCAACTCATAAATGAGCGAGAAAGAATGAAGAAACATGAGGAAAGTGAATATACTGTCAAGAACAGATGGATTCAGGGGGGGAAAAAGGAAAAATAAAGTAAACAATCCAGAAATTAAAGATATATCATCAAGGGCTGGGAAGGTGGCTCAGTGGTAGAGGGCTTGCCTTGCATGCTTGAGGCCCTGGGTTCAATTCCTCAGCACCACATAAGCAAAAAGAAAAAAGCCGGAAGTGGCGCTGTGGCTCAAGTGGTAGAGCGCTAG